GGAGACTCGATCTGTTTACTTATTTCATGTGGCGTTCGTAACCACCAAAAACGGTGACTACAACTATAACTTATTGTCAGCAGATACCGGGTGTTTCAAATTGGACTTTTAAGCAACAACTATCTAATAATGTCAAGGTGTACTTAGGAACTTCTACTTTTTTATTAACTAAGCTTCGGCAATGTCAATATATGACATATTATAGATTTTTGAAATTAGGATTAAGAACCTTATTCACCTGTGCAAAAATCCAATATGGTGCACAAGAGACAAAACGTCATATTAAAATTCTAATTATTCCATCCTGTAGAGGAGAAAAAGTGGAAATGTTAATGTAGCAACAGCGGTGGCTTAGTGGAAGTCCACTTATCAATTATTGAGTTTTATTACTAAACAAAAGAAACATCACCGTACGATATTTAAATTCACCCGCTCCTACTGGCCAACGGGCCATAAATGTCTGCGACCAGCGATTAGAAGCGGCGATCGAGTGCTCATGTTTATTTTAACGCGGAGTATATGAGCTTGGAATAAATTATAATTAGAGATAGATGAGCAGCCAGCAGTCTTGAAAAACGCCAATTGCCCCAAGTACTGTTTTCGGCAAGTCATCTACATCCAATACCATAACACTCACATAATCTTGTTATAATACAGCTTCTGCGCATAAATCTCACTATTTGTGAGTTAATGATAACTTTTTGCTTAACGTTTGCAGTCGTCTTAGCTATTAAAATTCCTGTAATATACATGATGCACCAAAAGTCATGAAGCAAACGAAGGGGGATAATAGGAGGGGCTATTTGCTATCAGAAAAACTATGTATGTCCTTTTTTGATTGTGCAGGTTTTTGAGATATCGTCATTTTCAAGAAATTGTGGAAATCATACTGTTTTCTTCTCTAGTTTTCTTTTGTTATTTTTCAGTCAGATTCACAGGATATGTTACCAAATTACTTGTCGCTGGAAAAAATCGGCTAATCTGGTACTTTGTTTTCAAAAAGATTACGGCATATTCAACGGGGCCTGTACAAAAAAATAGTAAGCGAATAAAGTGTCCATAGTGATGAAAAACTTCTCCTTACTATGGCGTTTCAAGATACCTATCAGATATTCAAATATCCTGAATAGTTTCTGCACAGACAAAATGCAGCAGGTACCCTAAATCCTGAGACTCCGATTTTTCAAACTTAACTCTTTAACTGCAGTACTCATTTCACTTATTATGTGACTTGATGCAAGATACCGTACTCATCACAGGAATATGTAGAAATCCATTTCATTTATGGATTGTGCAATGGAAATGGTCAACGTGATGTCGAAGAATATCAAAAGCCGTAGAGCAAATTCTCCAGACCATCGTACATGTATTCGTGTACGTAGTGCTTATGTGCATGAGACCAGTAAGAACAGGAAGGCCTAGAATAAGCGTAGATGCTGAAGATGTGGTAGGTATTACAGTTAACTGAAAATGAGCCTTCTAGCAGCGTGCGCCATGTTTCGTGGAATGCTCGTATGGCTAGGTTGACAGTACACTGAATTCTACACAGAAAGCGACTGCACCCGTTTCACATTCAACGTGTGCCGGAACTTCTTCCAGAAGACTACAGAAATGACACGCAGATCTTCATAATAATCTTATGGACGGACGAGCTTATTTTCGAAGAACAGGAATTTATAAGATAGCACATACTCAAACACCTCGTTCACCTGACCTCATCCCCACCAGTTCGTTCGTATGGGGTTATATGAAGGAATTATTGTTTTATAGTGCAACTTCAACCATACAAGCCTTAAGACAATGAATTGCTACTGTGAAAAACAGCCTTCATAGTAATCCACACATGATGCAGCGGGAGAAATTTCTGTGACGATGCAGGTCTTGCATTAGAACAGAAGCAAGACACTTTGAACATCAGCTGTAAATATCGCCAAATGTGGACACAGACAAGAAGAGCTCTTTTCAGAGCCGCAACACATTTTCTGAAAAAATGACTCCTAGGGTATACCTGTAGAGGGAATAAGACTCGAACATCACATATATGGGATTTAATAATCAGTTTCAAGTTTTTACTGTCTTCTATTTCAATCACATAAGGCTGGTAATTGAGGTTACAGGATTAGGCAATGCTGCACTGTTTCAGTAACGTTTTTAAAACCCAAAATAATGTCAAGGCCGCCACTCCTTGGAATGATTAGACCTAGAATTCATTCAGGTTTGAAGACTTATTGTCACATGTGTTAAAAATGGGAAGTTCCTGATTTAGGGGATCTGCAGCATTTTGTCTACTTTTCGCAGAAACTATTTAGGATGTTTGATTATCTAATAGGTACTTTGAAGGGCCATAGCATCGAGAAGCTTTCCATCAATGTAGACACTTCATCCGCCTACTATTTTTTTGTACAGGTTATGCCGAAAATGCTATAATCTTTTAGGCAACATACAAAGTTGCAGATTGGCCCATTGCTGTACCTATATTAACTGGACTAAATTATCGCTCATAGCTTTTTTCCAGTGCCATAATGGAAAATAAGAAGAAATCTTCAGAAAAAAAAAGAGTACAGTCTCAAAAGTAGCGATATTCCACAATTATTTCTTAAAAATGGCGTTAGCTCCAAAACCGTGCACAATCGGATGAGGACATATATGGTTTTTCTAGTTGAAAATGGGCCATCCTATCACCCCCTCCCATTAGCTCCATCACTTGGGACACCCTGTACTGTCAGGACGTTTCTATAGTCTAAATATCGCTACTCTAGGTCTCTTTAGGCGGTTTCCACAGTGAAAAATACTCATATGAGCTGCAAAGTTGAACTAGGTGCTCCACCCTTTTTCTCTCTACTGAAAGGCTGCAGATTTGATACTAATAAAAAAGTAGTTACTTATTCTCCGTCACACCTGCACTATGGCAATGGTACTCGTACTACATCATAAAAATTGGGTTAGCTGATGAATAATCCTAGTGATTCATAGAACGCAGGACCACCCAACTCCTTACTTATGTTAGCATTGCTATCTTGTGTTTTTCTCTAATGTTACAATAGTTCCAAGACGTTCCCTAATGAAGCTCTTAGTAGTTTCATACGATGTGCCGGCACATAGTCCAATTTAAAAAGTCTTTAAGAATGAACCATTGGCACTTACGATATACCCTTTAAAACTTACACGTACACCTCTCAATCTTGATTTTCTACGAACGGCAACAGCGACTGTGTCATAAAAGCAGCAACGTCGCTCGAATAACTTCCTGGTGCTAAAAGATAAGGTAGTATTACCACCACCATACCACACCCATTATCAAGACTGCCTTGATCCGATTCCTTCAATTCTGCATTCCATTACCAACGACAGACGACTGTTGTACTTCGATTGCATTCAGGACAACCACTAACGTGAAATTATTGAGCTTATCGAGTTGCCCGAAGGTCGGTTTCTGTAATAGGCATCAATAGGGTCTCCTTCAGCTGCGAACTATGATAGGACGGATTATAAGTGTTGCTAGTGGAGTAAATCGTCTTTTTCTTACAGGGTGGCCCAAGAAGAACTTACTGTATCGATTGGCTACTGGGAAAGTAAGCGTCAGATAACTATGAAAATTTGGAGTTTTGGAAAATTGTACCTATGCGAGAAAGCCGGCTAAAATATTTCCAAATGCGTGATTCTTCTGGTTATACTCATAACGCGAGGTATATTATGTACAGTCTGAAAACACTACGAAGATCAACAATTGGCCAGACGAGGGAAATACTTGTGTACTCAACCCCATGCAGTAATTTGATATCACACACAAAAAAAGAGATACCTATTGGTTGCAGTGCAGAAATTCTCTTAAAAATATGGACTTGATTTAAGGTCACAGGTATTTAGAATGAGGTAATTTCTTTGATTCAAGTTAAAAGGATTCCTCCGGTTGAGAAATATATTTCTTTGTAATGTGCACTAAAAACAAAGAAACTGCTGTATTCCTAAAAATTTTTCATTTATATCAAGATATTCATATTTTCAGATCAAACCTTGTTGAGTTATTTAAAACAAGTTCAACATTTTCTTCACATACTATCATATATTTCCTTGGAACATAAAACGTTGGATATCTCCAAACAAGCTCCTGATGACCTTCTATAGAGGAACTGATTCTGTTGGTCACACCAGAACGTTGCCAGATCCACTACTTAGACATTATAGCTACTAAACATTTATTTTTAGTAGGTATATTCGTCTTCAAAAATATTAACACCTGAACAACAATCGTAAGAAAAGATAAAAACTCCTAATCTATCTTTCGAAAATAAATTACCCATTATACCATCACAGCCCGTTGCAAACTCGTACACAAATATGTATACAAATTATGAAGACTCTTGCTTGAACCACTTTTCAGCTTTTATGATTTGATTTTTAATTATCCATCATAACAATATAGTTTCAATAACAACTACATGTACATTTTAAAGATATATTCATACATTATAACATGTATAAAATCCTAATTTCACTATTTTCGGATAATTTAAATAGAGCAACTAACAATGCCGCGTGGCCATGTTAAGCCTTGTCCAGGAAGTGCGAATTCGGCGCGAAACGTTTAGCGCGAAATCATTCGCGCGTTAGTGAGATACTTGACATCAATACGTCGCGTCCACAAGCATCGCGCGAATTCAAAATACGCGCGTAAATCGTGTGCACTACGCCAGACTCTCGACTCGCGCGCAATACGCGCGAGTCGAGATACTAGGGAACGCCTTGTTGCGTCCAGTTAACGCACGAACTCTAGAGCGAGTGCACGTATCGAGGGAAATGGAGCGCCAAAATTTTGACACGGAATTGTTTATAGACGAAATCGAAAAAAGACCGGCGATATGGGATTTGGAATCACCTGATTATGCCAACAGGATTTTAAAACGTAGGTCTTGGGAAGAACTGGTGTCAGTATTTTCTGATAAAGATGACTCCGAGGAAAAAAAGAAAGATTTAGGTACGTAATTATTATTAATTTATTGATTAGTAACAAACAAAGAAAATTAGATCATTTTTTCTTGCCACGGCAGTCGACCTTCCTTCATGAAATAATCAGCGAATATATCCCTCGTGTTTCGAGACCTTACACCAGGTCCAATTGTAGTCGTACTCAAACCATCTAGAGCTGTTTCGAACAATGTGTCTTCGTATCTGTATCCATCTCTTAGCCTGACGTAATTGTGAAGAACACAACAAGCTTTAATTATGTTTTCCGCAAATTCAATATGTACATTGAGTGGTTTGTGAAATATTCTCCATTTGTTTACCAGGATTCCAAAACAACACTCAATATAACGTCTTGCTCTAGAGAGGCGGTAATTAAATATTCGTTTTTCTTTGGTTAAATTCTTGCCGCAATATGGTCGCATAATATGTTCTGTTAAGCTAAATGCCTCATCTCCAACTATAACATGAGGTAAACGTGTTGTACGAATTTCTGAGACTGGTTTTGGTCCCGGAATGTTCAAAGATTTTTTCGTGAGTTTTTTGAAGAATGTGGAGTTTTTAAAAATCGTTGAATCATTGCTCTTCCCACATGCTCCAACATCTATAGAGATAAAACAATAATTTGCATCACATACGGCAAGCAGCACAGTCGAAAAAAAATGTTTATAATTGTAGAACATAGAGCCGGAATCTAAAGGTTTTATAATTCTAATATGTTTCCCATCAACGAAAATGTGTATATTTTTCGAATCCTCTTGCAATTTCCATCCACTCTTCTGTCGAAGGTTCTTTCATTACTATATCTTTTAACTTATTCCAAATAACATACACAGTTTTTTGATCGATGTCAATTACAGTTGATTATCCTAATCTATAGGCATAATCTAAGTCAGCAAAATAACAGCCAGTTGCTAAGTACCTGAAACAAAATTGAAAATTATTGTGAAATTGTTAATTTCAGGTAATACTCTTCAAAAAAAGTGGAAAGGCCTTCGCGACACATTTGTTCGTGAAATGAAAAAAACAAAGAATGCACCATCAGGCTCTGGAGCTTCGAAGATTCAATATATATATTTTCAACGTCTTATGTTTCTCGAAAGGTCAGTACGTAATAAAAAAACAGAAAGCAATATTCAAGACACCTCAGAAAACTCAGAGACAGGTAACGAAGAGTCTACAGCAGATGCAAGGGAAGACATAATGAGGCCGCCGAATCAAAATATTAAAAGAAAGAAAATGACTGCCGCTGATGCTGAATTCCTGAACATAATTAACAAAAATATAAGCTCTAGGAATCAACAACAGCCACTGCTTTCCAGCGTAATGGAAGGTGATGATGACAAACTGTTCTGCTTATCTTTACACAAAGAATTACTTAAGGTACCTGAGGCCAATCGTATAGCAGTACAAATTGAATTAATGAAAATTTTGCAAGCGGCTCATCAATCTTCGCAATCAACTGTGTATTCAAACAATTCGGTATTCGTACTTTTTCTTCATCTTCAACTTCAATTCCGGTTCGATACCATGCACAACCTACAAGACCAAATGAATTTACTTTTCAAGAATACGACCCAGAAACGACACCCGTAACAACTTCGCAAGGCCGCAATTCTAATTCAGTGCTAGGATCTTCACAGGGCAGCATTATACGTAAATTCTCATCAACATCATCAAGAGATCTCAGGATAGTGAATGTCTTAACCTCTTCCAAAACCATGACATTGTTTAATTATTATATTTAATCTCATACTACATTTAGTTCGTTTTTATTAGTAATAAAGTAATAAAAAAAAAATTTTTTATTTTACTGTGTTAGTAATATAGAAGATTATGAATAAAACACTACTTACCTTAAAGTTATCACGAGTTTCTGTTCTGGTGAAACAACATCCTCGCGCGGAACATAATTTGCACGTGGCAATAAATCTTCTCCAATTAATAAGAGTAAATCATCAAACGATTTCACGGACATACGAAAGTAGTTAAAAAATTTCTTCTCATGTTGTCTTAATTTTGGATACAAAGTTTCAAACATACTATGGGTCATTCTATCATGAAGAATTGGATGTACTAAATACATTCTGTTTTCCCTCCGTTTCTGTCTCTTCCAGCGACGGTAAGCTAACCACAACGAGACCGCTTCGTTCAACTCCATGTTTCGTACTGAATTCCTCCCTGAATGCTTTCGCGTTGGTACGCTATGTGTGGACGCAACGGTAGCGCGAAACACGCGCGAGAGAATCGCGCCGAATTCGCCCTTCCTGGACAAGGCCTTAACGTCGCCCTTACAAATTTGCAAGAATCGACAGGCATGCGACCAGCGACGGACTAGGCAGTTATCGAATTGGAGCGTTACTTTGCTTTGCATATTTTATAGTGTTTTTCCGTTTTGTGTCAGTTTTGTTCAAAACCATGGATGGCATTGAAACCCTATTAGAAAAATGAGGAACGGGAGACCATATTATTGAATAGTTCGATGCTAAGTAATCATAATATGAGTTTATGACTTTCATAATGAATCTGGGTAACCATAATTACATAGGCCGGTGATGGTCATAACACGATGTCACCGATTCTCCCACGTGGCTCGACCCGGGTTTTATAAATTTTTTATTGTCCCGTGAAAAACTCAAAAAATGGTTGGGTCATACTTTGTGATGGTGTCTGAGAAAGCGATTGAGATATGAATGGCTACGAAATTCGCAGATTTTCTAATTTTCCTTTCTTGATCATTTCAAATGAAAGTCGGCAGCTACTCAAAATTTTCTTGTACCATGATTCCTTCATAAAACTGTTTTTCCAATAATTTATACTTAAGTATAGGTACAGGTTTTCAAATAATTTGCTGTAGTCTTTCCATGCCACAGTTATTCTGAAAAACAGTATAGTTTCTGAGCTGCTGACAACTTTCATTTAAAATAGCTGAGCTCGAATGTCAGAGAGTTTTAGTGATTTTGTGAACTACGATCTAGAAAGAACACATTTAAAACTGTTTTACAGATCCTCTAATTAATGAGATGGTTTTGTGGTTAAAATACAACATGGAGACATGGAGTGAGGTCTTGGAAAAATTTAAGAAGACCCATGCGATCAGAAGGGATTGCGATAGAAAAACAGTGAAACAATTTCTACAAGACTGGCGTATTATTCAATATCTCCGAGGAGAAGTTTTGGTAAAAAATATCCCACATTTTGAAAAATAATCAGATCATTCTGCTGGTATCTCTGACTATATTTTTATCATTATAATTTTCTCCTTTCTATTTTCTGATAGTTTTCATTACTTTAACATGTTGCATCTAACATATTTATTGCAGATTTTGAGGTACTATTTCCTGACAAAGCTCTTAGCTTATACCTGAGTTGGGATAATGTACTTGAAAAAATTGTTGAACTGAGGGGGACTTCATCAAGGGATCCCACAGTGACTCAGTTGTTAGAGGAAACTGCTTCGATGCAAGGTACATTTTTTTGTTAATATAAATATCTGAATAATTTATATTCAGCTTTCAAATTGGTACAATCATTACATAGTTTTACCACTCATCCAAATCGGTTCAGTATATCCAACCATATCAACAAATTTGAATTTTCAAGATGGCAGACTTCCTGCACAGCTGAAGCTGTTGAATTATTTGATACCACCAACTGGAAAAGTCCAGGCTGGCCACAAGTGGTGGAGGAAGCCTGGAGGGAACGCTGGTACATCTTAAGCTGAGATTATGTTTGGAACAGTTTTTACTACGAGCATATTATAAACAATTTCAAAAATTATCACGTTTTGGTTGACATTGAAAATAAATTGAAAATACATCTTTAGATTTTTCAAGCCTGATCTCAAAATTTATGGAATAAAATATGTCTATAGTATGCAATAGTTTCGAAACCTACATTTATGATTTTTTATAATATGGAAATATAGTTTTATATACGTAGGTTCCCGGTGACATTAACACTATTGTTGCTAAAAAAGTAAGCGAGGCTGCAAAAAGAAAAGCCACGGTTCAGCCTTATTTAATAGTGGTAGGACCAGATCTATCGAACATAGAAACGAATTACATATATTGTTACTGACGATAACATATCCTATATAGATATGTATACTCTGATACAAAAATCTGTGTATAAGATTAATCTACAGACAGACGAAATTATTCCGGATATTTATGTGAGTCCATTACGTGCGTTGCACCATTGACGATGATTTAATGTAATGTGACGTTTATATGAAAATAAATATGTTACATACATAAAATCATTATGTTCACTTCCTTCCAACTCCCCACTCCCTCAATTGTCAAATTGATATTCTAAAAAATTTGTCGTAAAAAGTTATCGAATATTCTCTTTAAGGTGTCTTAATAATAACTTTCTGATCCATGATACATTTTATTAAAATAACCAGAAAGAGATTGATCTGCTCAGCTATTTCAAACATTATTTTTTCTTTACTCTTACTATAATTACATTGGAGAAATAACTATTTTCGTCTACCGCACATAAAGTTGCTGAAATTGAACTTGACTTTGAAATGTTTTTTGTAGTTCTGTACATGATGCTCAAAACTTCCGTGGACATCGGGTTACTATAGATATGCCAATTGAACTAAAGGTACCTGCCTTGTTCGTCTGTTGGGAAGGTGGAAAGCTATTTTCAATTTTTTATTATACAGTTTTGGCAATCCGGATCCGTAATCGGTTAAATTAGCCTCATTTGACAATTGGGCAAATAAGTATAATGTTTATGTTTACATATGCGCTATTTATAATTGATACAACTCTATTAACATATAATTATATATAACATTAATAATACGAGTATAATAGTGTATATAGGTACATACTACACTAAAATCGAACAAAGTATTTTTCAGCCATTAGGAATAATTCGCTTTGTTTTTCATACTTTAAAGCTTCCTCACAGGCAAGATAAGTTGAACTCAATCGACTTATTTTAAACTGGTTAAACTATAGTAATTCTTCTGTGGCCACTAAATTTTGAGACACCATGTATATTTCATCCTAGATATCTATCTTAATAAATCAAGAAAATGAAATCTATTAATCTAAGTATATCATTTACTTGAAGAGAGATACTTGCTTTCCAAATCAAATACATTGGTAACACGATAAAAAACCCTCTGTTCTGTAAATGAAATACATAAATCTCATGATATGTGAGCATCATTTCCTTGGATCAATTTTCTAAGCTCTTGATAGGAATATTCGATTTCCTTGAATCAAAGTAGCAATCCATTATATGAGAGAATCTTCCACTTGAATCTAGTACATAGTTTTGTTATGCAAGAGCGATGCTTTACTCGATTTATATACATCGGCCACTTGATGTGAGGACAGCAAATTTCTTCTGTTAAATGCCTCAAATTGAAGATCATTGGATCCTTGAATCTTAGGAAATGGAGATCTCCCTTTAAAGTAACATGCCATAGAAACATATCAAAGTCAGGATTTCCTCAACTCAAGGTAATTACTCTTCACTCAAGATTTTGTGTGCACCAGTAAAACACTTTATTAATCTGCATTTTGATTTAGACAATAATCATATTCATCAGTAATCTTCAAACCCTTGCAGTAGCGTGAACACTGAATATGCCGTTTTGATTACCTGCAATGAGATGATTTGTACTAGATTATTTTTGGAATGATGTGATCTGTCCAGTGCGCGACAGTGCGGTAAACGGTAAAGGCAAATCTACGTCTCTTATAAAAAGGTTTTAAACAAAAGATGAAGGGTTTCGGGTAAAATCATGGTGACCTTGGCCATGACCTTGACTGCGAGATTTAAGGAAATTCCAAGGTCAAGCGAATATTTTCAGAAGGAATGAGGAGAAAGAGGCAGGAAATTTACGCCCTAGCTTGACCTTGACTATGATCATCACCATGCCCTTCAAGGCCATTTCAAAGTCAAATCAACATTACTCTAGGTGTGTGGGGTCACTCCAAATCGACCTTGACCGTGACATTGGCCATCTCCTCCAATGTCATGTCAACATTTTACACGTATTCTGATTATGTGTTTGTACAGTTATACAATTTTAAAGGTATTATCAGGATCCAGATGTCAATTTTTGAGAAATATGTTTAATTTTTATTTTAAGTTAATATCTCGATATTTTGCAAAGTCCGCTATTTCAAATAGCGTGCCAATTTTTTATCATGATCTGGTGTTATCCTAAACTCGATTTTTATTACCAAAAATGGTAAATTTATTACGGTAGCTGAAGAGAAGTTGGACCAATCGTACATGAGCAGTATCTATATTGCACCTAAACTAAGGCTGAAGAAAGCTCTTTTCCGATTGTTGGGCACGGTACAAGGGGAATCATTTTTAAAATATCCTGTTATTGAGACGCATATTAAAGTTGCATTTTTGTAACTATTTCTTCCATTTTGTTTTATGTTTGGATGGATCTTTTTTATATAACATAAATTGTACGATATATATATTTAACGATTAGTTGCTGAGTTTAGAGACTTTAGGATGGAGGAACATCAAATTTTGGCAGCCCACAACTCCATTTCTATGGATGGAGTGATGCATTTCGCCTAAAATTGTTTATTGTTCTGAATTTTAACCTAATGCATCAGTTTTCCGAAAAATGCAAGATGTACCTTTCCTTAAGGAGAAAAATGGAATGCTCTGTATATTTTCAATTTCTGATTCTATTTCTGTGGTTGAACAATGGATGAATAATTCTGAATATTTAAAAAATGCGCCTCTGAATATCGTGTAGTGGGTATCTGGCCTTATAATAAATGTTTGGTTGGGAAAAAGCTAAAATGCCACATTTATCAAGCAAGACGGATTGTGCTTTAAGAATCACAGATTCAATTTAATACTCAATTTTATTGTTCCTGAAAAAAACGCACTAGAAGAAACATATCTAAGGTTTATTATAAACCCAGCATGTGGCATAATTATGCATATCTTAACAACATAAGCAGAGCTGTATATCAAAATACGCTATTAGTTTTGATACTTTACACACAAAATTCCCAACAGCTAAGGAATTAACCGTCAAAACCCATAAGTATATTATACATAATGCAACGTTGATGTGTGGCTCAATGACGAGACAGCCTGTATGATTGTGAATATTTTGGTAATGCTTTCCACTGTATCGTGCACACAATCGGTAAGCAGATTTTTGAAAAAGTCTAGAAGTCAAGGAGGTCGTTAATGTGCAATAGAAACAATGTCGGAAACAAGACCCATCCCTGGGGAACACCTGCGTTGACATTGTGGGATAAAGAGGAGAACCCGTCAATTATGAATGAATGTCTTGCGACCATAGAAGGAATCAGCGACCCGACTGCAGAACTTCTCTAGGAGACCGTAGGATGGAAGTTTGCATAAGAGGGCAGCATCCCACAGCTAGTCGAAAGATTTCGTGATATCAAGAGCAACGACATGATCTTCACAATATGGCTGCAGTTTACTCTACAGTAGCATGACGAAATTAGGAGGTCCCCTGTTGATTGCTGAGACCGAAAACCATACTGTCTGTCACTATCTAAGCCGTGATGTTCAATATACTCTGAAATTGTGCTGTTCGTAAATCTGTACCAAACAAATATTTATCGACAGCAAATGATCGCCGTCCCTTGTTGGCGCTGTTAGGGGCTCAACGAAAATAACCCAATATTGTATATGTGTTTACTATTTGTATAGGAAACGAACGACTATGAGCTGGGGTGCATTGTGCACTGTAGCACAAGTAACCACTACAAGTGGTAATAGACATCCATGAAACTGTATGCGCTAACAAGCGGTCTTTGCACAGGGATGCTGCGGAGACCAAGGCATTTCGTTGACAGCACGATCATGGACCTATATGGGAGGAAGTTGTATACTGAGTACAACTTCCGGAGCAAGTATTTGTCACGGCCAAGCTCAGTAGGGATAGGAAGTGTTTTGAAACAGAAATCTTTGCAAAATGTCTAGAAGCCTTTAGTGTAAAAAATACTTCTTAAAACTGTCAGACGGGCACTGATAATATTTTTAAGATCTTAAGATAGTCAAAGCTGGTATTTTAATCAGTTACAACGATTACGAGTGCCAGAAAAAAGTCCCAAACGTATGCTTAATTTTTCAGTCACATTCATACTTTACGGTGGATCTACTATGCCAGCCCCATGCGAAACTATAAAACAATGCATCAGTGATGTGGGCCTGCTTAACACGTGCGAAAAAAATCTTATTCGGTCTTGCTAGAATTATTACTTTCCAAGGTATATAGATAACCTCAGTTACTTCAGAAAACATCCACCGTAATTTGTATGGAGTGAGATGTTTCGAAACAGGTGGTAGTAGTATGTTAATGCGATAATTAAATGTTATTACCGTCACGAATACTGGTAAAGATGCATCAAAAGTTCCTCCACCTAGACGGATAGCCAGAGGGCGACTTGTAAGTTGAATGTAGATTTGTATCAGCCTCTTATAAGCAACGTCAGCATTAATCCACTTGGAGCTAAATATTGCGTACGATATCTTAGCGCTCTAAAAGAGAAACAAACAGATTTCAGTTAGGCATTGCTCAAGCAAATGAGAAGCAGTCACAGCAAGGAACTCATTTTATGTCAATTTACTGCACAATTTGTTTGATAAGAATTGGTCCGAGAACAGTGATATTGATAATTTGCCAAAATGTTACTACTTATATGAGATGAAAAATCCATAATTACTTTCAAATGAGCAAGTATGGCCTCATTGAATAAAATGAATGATTATGTTCCGCCCTCGTCGAAGTAAATATTCAGAATACATATCGTAGTACCCTCGCAGTAGTATCCAACCGCCACGAGTTCAAAGCGCGCACGCAGAGAAGGAAAGCGGCACCGCGCCGCTTCCCCCTACCTTTCTCCACTCTGGCCACCAATAAACCTTTATTCCTGTTCTCGTGCCCGATCGTCAAGACGTTAATCGGCGCGCCTCGTTTACGTACTCTGTGCAGTGCAGTGTCGAGGATCCGCTGTACATTTAGAATTAGAAAACAGGACAGAAGGTAGATGTACATTGTCGAACGAGATACCGACCGACGGTCGCCTGAAGGTTGCTTTCGTCGCTGACCAAAATTAGAAAGTGGCGTGCAGGCCTCTTTTTCTGAAGGGGCGTCACCATCAGGTAACTGTCAACTAACCGATCTGTTTTAGGTGCAAGTTAAATGAATATTAGTATGGATGCCTCGCCGGCGCTGAAAATTGTGCCTAGCATGACATTTGGGATAACGTTCTGACACTGTTGCTTGGGATAGCAACCTGGACCTAGCTTGTGATAGCCAACTTCATACCTAGGACGAACAAAGACGTTTGGGATAACTCTGAAACAATGGACTCGGTTGCTTGGGATAGCAGCGTGGACCTGGTTTGGGATAGTCAGCTCCACACCAAGGATGAACGAAGACATTTGGGATAATGTTGTAATTTTGGACTCGGTTGCTTGGGATAGCAACATGGACCTAGCTTGTGATAGTCCACACCAAGGACGAATGAAGATGTTTGGAAAAGTTCTTCAATACTGAACTTCTTTGCACAAATAATAACACTGAAAGCATTTGGGACAACGTAGCAACAAGGTATGGTCAACAGTCTTTTCTCATTTGCTGGTGATATCATATTTCATCTGGTTTGTGATAACCATGGAACAGGACCGTAAGTTGACATGGCAGGCTAGGAAGTTGTTAAGATATATTTTTTCCTTATTACCATATATTTTTTCCTTATTACCAGACAGAGTTTAGGAATGTTATGCAAGGTTAGCGTTATATTTTGCTTGTGATGGCAAATTTCATCTGGTTTGTGATAACCCTGGAACAGCATAATAAGAATGCACAAGACAGTTTAGGAAACTGCCGAAGTACCATTTTTCTTTAATAACAAATATAGATTAGGTTCATATATGCGAGACTAGGGTTACATTTTGTTTGAGATAGCAAATCCCATCTAGTTTGTAATAGCAATGTAGCAATATAGCATTTTTCATTTATAACAGATAAAAATTGGGTACATCTATGTGACACTAGAGCGGTACATTTTGCATGGGATAGCAAATTCTATCTGGTTTGTGATAGCAATGTAGCAATATAAAATTTTTCATATATAGCAGATGAAAATTGGGTACATCTATTTGAGACTAGCGGTACATTTTGCTTGGGATAGCAAATTCCATCTGGTTTGTGATAACTATGAAACAATATTGTAAGGATGCGCATGAGAAGTTTGGAAGAAGCCGAAGTACCTATTTTTCATTAATGAGCGATAAAGATTAGCTACATCTATGCGAGACTAGCGTTACATTTTGCTTGTGTTAGCAAATTCCACGTGGTTTGTGATAACCGAGGAACAGGTGTGTAATTATGAAAATGTCAGGTTAGAAAACCGCCAATGTATATCTTTTTCTTATCACCAGATAAATTAGAGGCACCTTATGCGAGGTTTGCGTTTCATTTTGCCTATGATAGCAAATTTCCTTTGGTTTGTGATTACCTTGGAATATCCTTATCTGAATGCACATGAGAAATATTACTGCCCTCGAGTCAAATATAAAATCTAGGAGTAATACTGGTACATATGAGCTTTCGCGTTAGTGGGACGTGGAAACGGAGTGGGAGCTGCACCTGTAACACCGCTCCCACTAATTCTGAAGCTTACCCTGGTTATCGTCACTGGAAAGCTGTCATTCCAATCAATATCGATAATCCATCATGCATTGTGGGCTTAGATTACGGTAGGACCTTTGTCGGGAAGAAATACATGTCTGGTTTCCTACTTTGAAATTTCTTACCTTACACGTGATAAGAGATCAAGATATAATTGTTTGAGCTATCAGTCTTTTACCCAACATGTTACCAGCGATGCGGACATGATGGTTTTTGAAGGTCATTTACATGCTGAGGCGATCTCAACTGAAATGTAGATACTGTGGTTCTTCTCAACCAACCAAAGGGGTTGCTGGTTATCTCTGTAGATATTTGGATGAGGAAATCAGCAGCACTGCTAGCTCTAACCTCAGGTCAGAGTGTGCAAGCTAATTGAAACAGACAACATCCGGATTGGGTTGAATAATACTGAAATTGGGATTTCTCAGTTTTTGAAAGTCTCGGGGTCACTCATGTGGCAACCACTTAAGTTTTACCGTATTTTACTCCGAAATATCTATCCAAAGTATTTATTTATCACTGTACAGTAACTGTATCATGCTGCCTCGGCTCCCAGATGTATGAAGTCAGTTTTAGCAGAGTGTCACAATTGAGAACCTACAGTACATGAAATGCGTCTACCTCTCCGAATGCTAAATTATAGTAGTCTCAGGCTCGCGGCGGGCTGCTGTGCGTTTTCCGAGATACATCACAAATCTCTTATACCAAACAATAGCTTTGCTCAAGCGGCATTTGAGGTGAACCAAGTCTCCACACCTTAAACATAACTATGTTGTTACGTTATTTGCTCATTACCATGAAATGGATGGTAAGTTTTGAACCAGGTACGTCAGATTAGCTGTTGCTAAAAGCATTAACTTGAATTGTTACAATGGAAATGTACATTTAGTTGACACACATGCATTGGGTACAATTTGTGTAGTGGTATACAACCTATCGTTTACTATTGCAGAGCGTTAGCAGTATGTTGTTGCGACTAGCTTTGAACATCTACGATATGAATTCTTCGACGAGGACGGCACATAATTACATGATCAAACGAACTTACCTGTAAGTATGTTCGATATTAATTGTGTGAAGTCCTTGTCGAAGTAAATAGCTTCCTCACCTCCTATGTATCACCCAATTGTTGCAACAACTTGGCTTTGCAGTAAATGAAGGTTTATAGGCGGCCAGAGGGGAGCAAGGTGCCGCTTTCCTTCTCAGCATGCGCGCTTTGAAATCGTGGCGGTTGGATACTTCTACGAAAGTACTACGATATGTATTCTAAATATTCGTTTGATCATGTAATTTCATAACCATCCATATTGGGTAATTATTGTTCAGCTCAAGCGCTGCGTACAGCCATATCCTCACCTGCTGCCGATTAGCTTTGGTTTGAGACTCCCTCAACCATTCATGTTCAGAAAGATGTACGTCTTGAGAGGGGGTAACGGTGATCAGAAATTGAAGAGCGGGGAGTTTTATAGGGAAAAGTGACAAGCTTGGGCGTCTAAGGTTACGATTTGTTCAACTCTTTAATGTTCTTTGACATTATACCTGTTTGGAAATCACAAAATGTTTGGAAGAACCATATATCAACGTACCCACTTTGGATTATTGTATAGTCACGTATGTATATGTTTATTAATGCTTATATGCTTGCCTGATAGGTCACTGCACTTCCACACCAGCAATGGCAGTAAATTATTGATATCATTGCTAACAGATATGGCAAGAAAAACGCTAATCCCGTGCGGTCAACCTAGAAAATAAATGATCATCTATACCAGGGTTTCCCAAACTTTTTTTTGTTGAGGCTCCCTGGACTATTATTATTATTATTACTATTATTATATTTTCATGCCCCCCCCCCTTTACTTTTTCAATAAATACAAAAAATGCACATTATATAGGTACAAAAACTTTTATTTTAATTCTAATAAAGAAACTTTACAAGTTTAAATAAACTAATGAATGTTTTTTATCGAGAAAGTTGAATAAAATAAGAATAGGTACTAATGAGACACTTGAGATTGCATGTTCTGTACCAGTTGGTTGATTCTAGGTTCTGTTTTTCCCAGAGCTATTATCAGGTCGCTATCGACATCAAGAGAATTTCGCTGTTTAGTTTTAATCAAAACTAGACCAGAAAAGCCTGTTTCACATAAGTAAGCTGAAGAAAAAGGTACTAGTACTCGTAAAGCACGAGAGGCAAGTGTCGAATTAACAGGCAATATTTTGATCCAAAATTTCTCCAATGATAAAAGATGGAAGTCATCTTTCATGGACGAATCAGCCTTCATTTCTGTAAATTCTTCCTGAAGAACTTCTTCTGGTAATTGTGACACATCGACAACAAATGGATTTCTTGTCATGTGCCATATTGGTGACTCTGAATTGATGTCTCGATAGTATCGGCGAAATTCGTCTTATAGCGCTTGCAAATGAGTTTTTATGCCAGCTTTTAAATTTGCCTCCAGCATGTTATTTTTAATTGCTTCGAACAGCCGAGAAAAAGATATAACATTTTCAGAAGACACTTTTTGACTCCAAAGTTGAAGCTTTGATATGAACCCCTGAATATAATCATAATTGCATATTATAGTGTTGTTTCTGCCCTGAAGTTTCAAGTTTAGCTCATTCAAGGAGTCAAATATGACAGTTAAATAAGCCAACCTCCATTGAAATGTGTCATCTTTGAACATTGTCAAGAAATCGTGTTTTTCTTTGAACTCAAGAAAAGAATCACCTCTTCTTTCAATTCATAAAGGCGAGACAACATGTTGCCTTTGGACAGCCAGCGTACTTCTGTATGGAACAGAAGAACTTTGTGATCAGAATCGAGATCCTCGCAAAGTAAAGTAAATAACCGACTGTTCAAAGCGCTGCTCTTGATGTTGTAGTTTACAATCCTCATAGCCGAGTCCAAAGTCTGGCGTAATTTCTGTGGAAATGTTTTGAAGCCAAAGCTTGCCGATGAACACAATGTGTACTAACCATTGGGAGATTTTTTTCCTTGAGCTTTTTAGCTAAGCCCCATCGTACACATATCATTGCAGGTGCGTCGTCTGTGCAAAGTCAATGAGTTTCTTCCTATCCAAATCATTTTTTCATCAAAGATTGATATTTAATTAAATACATCTTCAGATGTAGTACCTGCTGTCAAAGATTGGGAGTACAAAATCTCTTCTTGAATGATATCTCCGCCGAAATAACGAACATAAACTATTAACTGCGCACAATTAACGATGTCGGTGGCTTCATCGCAACTAATGGCAAAAAATGGCGATAATTTTACTTTTTTAATTACTGTGTAATCCGAAAGAGAAATAGACATTTTTTGCTCTGCATCTTCTCATTAAATCATCTGCGTGGCTTTTAGGATACATGGTTTTATTAATTCTTCACCGATAGTATGAGATTTCTTTTGCTTTGCTATCATAAAAGCTATTTGAAATGAAGCATTGAGATGCTGCGATACAACTGTGTGATAACGATTGGACCTCATGCTATCATTACTTAAAACTTTCATACATATCACACACTGAGGTAACTCGTTTTTTTCTATGAAGGTAAATCCAAACTTAACGTAATCTTCGGAAAACATCCTTTTTTTCGCTGCCATTTTGCACCTATAACAATAAAACAAATAAGTAATAAATAAACAAGCAAAATACCCACATGTAATTACTATCATAATTATATGCCCATTATTTTATATTAATAACGTAATGTATTCAACAGTATATTAACCACCGGGAGATTTATATTTTTGTTGGCAGGTTGACGTTATAATAGTAATTTTGAATTCATTTGGAATCAATATTAGGTACTCAAAGTTCGTCGTTTCAAAATTATTTCGCCACGCTGGTTTGATTGTGATGTGGTAAAAAATTCCCAATGGCCGATCGATGAACGCGTCTCCACTCAATCAGCGATTTAGTAAATTAAATAAAAATGGTAACTGAAGTTTACACAAACTTACCTTTTAACATTGAGACACAATAATTTGACACACTCAAACAGATTTCTCAACAAAACATGTGTATCGAAACGTCAAATTTTTCGCAAGTTTGTGCAATGAATGTCACAGATGCTTATCCGCGTCTGGTAGGTACACAATTGTTTTCTGAGGAATGTTAAGCGGAGCGCGGCGGGGGTGCGCGCGGATTTCATGTTGTGACGTGTCGAAACTTGTATAAACTGCAATTGACGACGTCGGGTTTTGAAACAGCGGTTGACAGAATAAGTGAATATGATATTTAATTTTCTAATTAAAAATTATGCGTGTAAATTAAAAAATACATCGTAATGTTATTTGTTAATGTTGTTTTTTTATTTTTTTGCTTTTTTTTTCTAAAATGCAAACGCTTTCCGCCCCCCTTGACATCTGTGTATGCCCCTCTTGGGAGGCGTGCCCCCCTGGTTGGGAACTCCTGATCTAAACTATAACACCCGTTTTTAAAAAGACTATAACTTCTTTGGAAGGTTACGATAGGAGAACATATTTTAATTGCGACTTCATTAAAATTGAAGTAGAATGTCATAGATATGATCACTGCTCTGATCCATCGACATTCAACGAAGTATATGCATTGTTTGACACGTAACGAGTACATTGGCAGGGTACTCGGTGTGTTTAAATAATAATAATCGTTTTTATTGACCAAATATTGTACATTACACGGGGCGAGATTTAGCACCTGCTATTCCACCATCTAAGCTCGTATAAAAGTTACTTGAAAAAACATGTTACTTATACAAAAATAAAGCTAATAGGTAATATAAAGAAACGGAAGAATAACTGATCAAAAATAGAGTATGAAAATGAAAGAAGTTCTTATGCTAGTGGTTGTTCTGCAGTTCTTGTAAATATCTGTTTGACTGTATTTTAAAACTCCAGGAAGACTGGATAGTCTTCAGTTCCTGACCTAAGTTATTGTGAGATAAAATTGCATTGTAAGTGTGTAAGAGTTGAGCGATGACATGGTTGAGGTGTAACGGTTACGAACTTAAATATGCACAGATGCCCTTAGAACGAGTTTACAACTGAGGTATTGCGGGGATGATGTTAGTACGATCCTGTGAGTAAAGTTTAGAATGGAGTATTTGAAAAGATTTTAAATACTTAACCATGAAAGATTGCGATACAAATGTTCGAACTTTTTTACACCTTCGATAAACCTTATTCAGGTATTCAGCATTATCTGGAAACGTTTTGCATTAATCGACGTCATATCAGGATAATATATGGAAAACCATACAACGTTTTATAAATAACTAATCTTTGACACAATTTAATTTTGATATTCTTATGCAGAATATGCTGGTTTGTAAACAGAAGCCTGAGGGATACATAACAATTTTTCAAGACGTAATTCAGATGGGAGTTCAATCAACGACCGAGCCAAAGTAAATGCCCAATTTTTTTACCTTTTTAGAAAACTATTTCCTCGCCATTAGCGTTGATGTGAATTGATGGTTTAAGATTTTCACATAATTCTGGTTTGCCAAATAATATGACAAAACATTTAGAGGGATTTAGTCCCAAATTGTGTGAGATATAGTACCTATTAACACTATCAAAATCTGCATTTACTAGTATCATAGACTCCTGGACGTTGTAGGCGTTAAAATCATACTTCATATACGTATCATAAAAAAATTGAGCATGTGTATTCTTGAAGTTATCATGTAAATCCGCAGTGTAAAGTAATAACATCAGCACTCCCTGTACTGAGCCATGTGGTACACCTGAATAAAAGTATTTTGATGTCGATTTTTTTTATATTGTAACCAGAATAAATAGTCTCCATACTCTCCTTTGGTGCGAGACTGCTAGCGCCATCTGTTGGGAAACGCGCCAGGGACTCTTCTTCGAGATCGACGCGAAGTGACCCCGAAGATTCTGGACTGCTGCTATGTGGCTCACCGGAACCTTCTCGTAGCAACGAGTACATGCGATGCGGAATATATGTCGATAACCGAGAGAGGGAGGCAGAGCAGAGTAGAGTTGAGATAATGGCGCGACATCATAATTCGTAAATAAGTAGTCAGACATAAATAGTGGTGTACATATATGTTCTATCTAGTTAAGTTAAAGTTGATTGTGTTGTGTTTTAAATAAATTAGTGCGATTTTTCTTGTGGAATCGAGTGTTTTTAATCTGCACCCAAAAGAACTGGGAAAACGCTACAATATTTACTTTTTGCCACCGCCTCCTTATATATAACCTAATAAAGTTGTAGGCAAGTTCATCGAAGCCATAGTAGTATCGAAGGCCTTGAAAAAGTCTAACAGTATCAGCAAGCTCATGCTTCTACTGTAAATAGAGGATATGATTCTATCTGTGGGATAAGACAGAACAGGACATAGTTGGACTACGGGTTTTCTGAAAGCCTGGTTGATGGGTGGAGCTGATATTTTGCGCATTGAGATGATCTAGAATTTAAGCAAGAGCTACTCGTTATAAAATTTTAGACATGGCAATATGCTTATTGGTCTGAAGTCAGTCATGGATGTCGGATTCAACAATTCCGGCAGAGAATTCACCACCGCTGTCTTCCAGGGGTCCGAGGAGTATCCAATTCCCAAGCAAATATTAATAACCTAAAGTAGATAAACGCCACTTACTGAAAATTATGACTTTAACATTTGTAAATACACCAACGAGCTACTCAAGCGACCACCTGGCCTTCACCCTTCACCGCACTGTCAGGCTGGGTCAGTCGACAGATGTAAACCAATAACACATTTAGCATCTGATCAAATAATTTTTTTTAATTTATTGGCAGAAAATAATCCACAATCTAAATCAAATACAAAAGATGTTAGATTCTGCGGATGATGAGGTAGACTTTTCTAGGAGGCCAAGAAAAATAGCTGACTTGAGCGTTATTGAGGTAGTATATTGTAGCTCAACAAAAAACGTTGTTATACCATTTATTTAGACGGGTATCAATCAGCCTTAAACATGGACATGACGTAAAGCTTTCAGTTCATCGTCTCTTGCACCATTCTGTAGGATTCAGCGTTTGAAGTTCCACTACATATGATGCTAGGTCAACTCTAGTTTGGACAGGTATCTTAATAACGGGCTAGTCAACTTCATTCGTTGACTTCCCAGATCTCCATACTACTGTCCAAATGAACATGCGTAAAGTATGTTGGCAATAAGAGCGACTTCTTTCCCTCAGCCTCCATCAACGTTAGGAACTCCTCTGAATCAAGTACAGCTAGGTTTGAGATGAGATACCTAAAGAAGACATAAATCATCTCATCAAAAGCATGCCCTGATGACTGGGCGAAGGTAGCCTATTGCTCATGTCTAACTGTCCACAAAATTTCACTCAAATAAAATCATTTTTACTAGCTGTTCTATTTTCTCTGTCACGGTATTCCGGGTGTTTCAAATTCGACCCTCACAATTAAGATCTCGGAAACGATAAGAGATACAAAGTCAATTAAATCGGGACAAAGTTTCATATTTAGGTAACAAAATGCTGTTTACAACTCTTCGAAATTCAAAGGACTTCTAAAAAGACGGAAAAAACAATTTTTTTAATTATACATTTTTGGAACCAGAATCGAAAACTCCATCTACCTGTGCAAAAATCCAAAATGGCGTTTTTAAGAAAAAAAAAAGTTGATGCTGGAGGACAAAGGGAGAAACGTCATATTGAAATTCTAATTACGCCATTTCCTAGAAGATAAAATGTGGAAATGTCAATACACAATCTAGTTTGAAATCCCATTACAAATAAGGTCAGGAGAAAATTAAAACGAGTCTGGGAACGTTCCGTTTTTTTTCTTCTCTCTCCGGAAATGTTCGAAATTTTCTAAACGGCATGTCTAAATACGCAACGTTATCTCGTACGGTATATTCCAAATATTTTTCTAATTCTAATCCATAACTAAATACACCTATTTGCACATATTTGAAAGCGGGTATCTCAAACCAATGAAGAGTATACCAGCTTTAAACAAAACCGTTAAAATGAAATTTGTCCAGAACGCTCAAATTATTTAAAAAAATTATATTGCAAATTAATTCGTGCAGAGATGTTGCAGCGTGCAAGTGGTGAGTGTATAGTCTTCCACTCAAGACTTTCTGCCTGGAATATTTTCCTACAACTCACTTCTGAAATGTTTCTCGGACTGCCATAGTCTATAAGGCTTCTTGATTCACGGCGTTTCGATTGATGTGATCTTCAATCGGGTGAACTGGCGAAAGTGCTCCTGTCCTGACGACTTATACCATTTGATGACATGGCCGGTTGTTGGCTGTGAGGTGTCCCTCGTTCCGATCGCTTGAGTTGCAGTTGTTTGATGTCACTTACAATCGGTTGCCATTCTGGTTCAATCTCACCATCTGGATTACTGTAAGAATTGTCATTCATCACTGTTAGGACGCTTCCTCCGTGTGTTTCTTGCAACTACAACTAAGCCGACCGGAAGGAGGGACACGTCACAACCAACCACCAGCCACGTCATCAATTGAACTGCCGTGAATATAGAAACCACATAAACAAGTCCGAGAAACAACACTTCAATCACACACATTGTGATAAAATTTCAAACAACTTACCTCAATTACTAATGACATAGTTGTACATATATTAAAAACGCCACCTATAAATACGGCAGAAACTCCTACTTCATAGAATTTTTGGATTTTCTTGATGAACCTAAAACGATCGAATATATTTGGAATACATGGGTATAATAAAGAGGTGCAATATAACTTTCAAAACGACCTCTTCAAAGTAAACAGAATGTGAATAATAACTTCAATAATCTGGTGACCGACATGATATGCCAAACTTCATTCAAAACCAATCGAACACTCAGGCACATCAAATAAAATATGTCAGAGGAGAGTGCCCAAAATCGGACGCCAAAATGTTGTTAATGATTAAAAAAATATTAAAAAGTATGTTTTAGAGGCGTACATACAACATTTACTTTGTAATGATAAAAAGCATCATTTACCTTATGTGTTTATAAATTGTGATTGGAAACTATTGTTAACAGAATTTTCAAATAGCTTTCATAGCACTGATTTGAATAACAAGTGCCAAAACCGAACCTCTGGTAGTAGTCGTGGTAAGGAAGCGAAGTCTAGCCTAGACCATCTTTGACCCTTTTTGTCGACCCAGAAGTAGCAACTCTGCTACTCCACAAGCCATCTACTTGTAACTAATTATTGAATAAAGTAGCTCAGCGATGAATTGCACCTATAGTTAATATTGCACCCACGTGCGTGATATAAACAACATACAACACAACATCCCTGGCACGGAGCTAACTTCCGAGGCTGAGATTCGAATCCGCGAGCCCCTTGACAAGCTAACCACTGAGCTACCGAGGCTTCCTGAACCTCTAGTAAGAATTGGCAATCATCAAAGAACGCGCATTTGACAGTAACCGATTTTCAAAGAACGTAGAGCCAATGATGACCAGGGGGTCTGCTTTACGAGAGAAGTTCGGTTTGTATCACTTTCCTCTGATCACAATCTACACAAATCGATGAAAAGCTTGGTGCCAATGTCGGTGAGATTCGATGTATTTCGTACTGATGCTTACAACACTTCATCATGAAATTACTACCAGGGTAACATGATATTAAATAATTTTCAGTCCTACAAACATAATGAATCGATAAGTCTTACGCTATTTTTGACAGCGACGGCAAATAACGGATGTAGACGAAAAAAAGGGTTATTATGACCCCTATAGTTAACCGTTGTAATTTGACAGTACTGATTGCTAACGGTCATTACAGGTTGCTTACAAAACCTTGTTAGCTTTTTTTTATAAAAAAGTTTTCTGCAATCTTTGTGTATATGTGCCAAAACCAGCAAAATTCAATAAAAGCCTACCTTGCCTTGTGGTTTCATTTGGCTAGATCAACGAGTTATATGACATTAATAGTATCGTTCGCGGTTCTAAATTGTATTTTGCAATTATTCGTACATGTCAAAAGTTTCTTGATAAAAACAATTTTTCATTAAAAACATTCATTGCCGCATTCACGCGTCAAGATACTTCATCAACAACTTACGTGAGTATTTCAACATGACAGTAAATGCAACTTTTTAAATCCATATAGTCTTCCATATCCTTCAGAGATTTTTCTAGTAGACATAGCTGAATCACAATTTCTATTAGCACACCTGCAGCTAAAGTCACATATGTCGCACACATGTAAGAACTGGTAAAACCAATTAGCATCTAGAAGTATGTATTTAGTCCAATTTAGTGTGAAGCTCAAACTAGTAAGTGCTATGAACGTACCTGATACATGAATAATACCTTGATGTTAATAAAAGAAAAGGTATGAGCTGATAGCGCCGAGCCATTCAGAATATTGACAATAAGACACATTATATTGCAGAAGGTGTTGTTAATGAAGAATACCTTGACAGGAAAGATATAATTAAAAATGATCGGAAAGTAGATCACATCAGAGGTGGCTGTTATTCACCAATGACGCTCCCCACTTATTCAAGGTGCTTCCAAAACTTGGGAGTCATTGTTTGTAGTATCCTACACAAGGCGACTTTATCTGACGATTTGTTGGATACCATTTCAATTATAACATAAGATACAGGGAAAACTAGATTTGTCTGATGGCTTCCTTGAGTCCAACACATGTTAGAAAGAGGCAGAAGCCGGCTGAAGATCGAAGGTCATCACCACATTGCCTATTATAGAAACGGTGACGCAGATGGTCGTGCAATCTGCCCGGTTGCCAATATACGAGTATTACACCAAAAATTTTTCGCACAGGCTTCTACAATAGGTTTGGTTACTGTCAAACCCAAGAAGGAGATATGTTCGAACATTGAATTTAACATATTGTTTTCATTTTGATTAGGATTATTTATTTATTCAATGTCACAAATAACATTACGCAATGCAAATTATCACTGCCTGCGTGTACGCAGATGAAAACCATTTCGAAGGATGACACTTCCCAACGAGTGCTAGATCATGGAGGATGGAGGTGGAAACCTTGCGTTGGAATACATATGACAATCCTGACCTTTTATATCGACCTGAAATGGACCGCCGTTAGGACCGATCCGCACAGGTATTATGTAAAAAACCTATAAAACGTCAAACAAACCTATAAATTGTCATTGCAGACTAAGTAGTTCTTAGGGTGCAAACAGTCATTCCACGTCTGCTCACTAGGATCGTTGTGAGCGTCCATCTATGGAGAAATGCCTCAACTGCACGCATGCACGGATTGTTGGTTGCATACGTTTTGTGAAGCCGACTAGTCTATAGTTTTTATCGATGAGAAGAAAGCTGGTTGAATAGCAAGATCGCATCTAGATGTTTGTGTATAAAATCAGTAATATTTGCTGTGTGAGAAAATCATTACTGAATATGTTACTAACGAAGTATAATAGCTGTGCCCACGGGTTATTTATATGTTGTCCCTTCTGAAGACAGTTTATGTTCAAAGGTATCAATTACGACTTTTCACGTCTTTTTGTGTTTTCAAAAACTTTGAGGAGGATTACGGGAAATCACCACCCCGCCCGCGTTGTGTGAAATTATTGTTTGCATGTCTATGATTTGTAATTCGACAGTGTACAGTGAATATAATTATTTCTTATTTCTCTCATTTTTAAAATTCAGCAAATTTGCATATGTAATATCCAGAATGGATAAGAAAAAGTGGATGCGCAACTAATTTCTACCTTTGAATCATTATTTGGGAGTGGAGAATAAACCTACTCATACGTTCAACATGCATCTTAATTCAAGGAAAGGGGTGATAAGCCTCGCTATCCAGCCGGCTTCTACCTCTTTCTAACATATGTGACCATACACATTGAACTCAAGCCGTCAGAAAAAATTGGTTTTTAGTGTATAAAACGCACACAGCTTTTGAAAATAACACTATCTACAAAAACACTTCTCTCAAGTCTAACAGGTAGTCTGAGAAATATAGCAAAATTGTTGAACAAAATTTTAAAGGGACAAAATAATTGGTGGATATGTACCAAATGGAATATATATAAAAAGAAAAGGGTCATGCAGAAAAAGGTATATATCATATAGAAAAATAATGGTCAAATTCCAAAAAGAAGGAAAGTGAATTCGAGCAGAAAAATAGGATAGGTAACCCGAACGTTACGTATTTCTGCTTGTTGGCTTCATCAGGCCAGAAGTAGATGCACATATGCAAAATGGGTGTAACCATAGGAAACGAAGATGGTGAGGAAAAGAAAATGACACAAGAAATAACAAACAAGAGCCAACATTGTAGACTAGAATGGCTAGAATACCTTGAATTTTCAAGGCGACATCTAACCACAACCAACCGACCGGTTATAGCTACTTGCTGTGGTACTTCGTGCCCAAAGGATCTACAAAGGGAAAATGATCATGCGGAATAAAGTATATAACAAATAGAAAAATAATAGGTAAAATCCGCAAAAAGAAAGAAAGTGAATTCGAGGATATCCTATTTTTCTTCTATTTGCTATACGAGCCCCTTCCCACTTCAGTTGGCTCACTTCAAGATTTGTACCAAAATATGCCTTTATAAACTAAACATGACGAAACTATTTACTTCTAAAATAATTTATTTTCTCAAAAACATTTTAGATACACTCTAGTCGTAAAAAATACATTTTTGAAATCACTTAGACTTAGACCTATAACTAATAGAACATCTGAATAAATAAACAATGTGCGAATAAATACGAAGTTAACAAAGCAACAATTGAAAGATTACCATTGGGTAACATCACCTTTATTTTTTATTACGGCTGAAATTCTTTGGGGCAAAGTGTTAACCAAGTTTTGGCAAAAATTTGGTGCAAAACAATCCCATATTTCTTGAAGCTTTTGTCTCAGTTTGGTGATTGTACGTGCAGGATGTTGTCGTAGAACCTTTTTCATCTCGTGCCCCAAAGTTTCAATAGGTGACAGATCTGGACTGCTAGAAACCCATTTCAAAAGTGGTACATTATTTTCTTCCATCCATTTTATAGCCTTTTTTGAGGTATGGCACGCTGCACCATCTTGCTGAAACACAAAATCTTGGCCGGATGTCAAACATTCTTCCATCACTGGTAAAAGCGATTCTTCTAAAATTGCCAAATATTTGTTTATATCCACATTTCCATCAATAACATGAAGTTTTCCTACTCCTTTTGATGACATACTGCCCCAGACCATAATGGATGCTGGAAATTTCACTTTTCTCTTGAGACAGTCAACATGGAATGCTTCATTTTTTTCGCGAATAACTCTACTGCGACTGTCACCAACACAAACTTCGAATCGGACCTAATCACTCCATTGTATTGCACATCATTGTTGAGGTGTCCATTGTCTATGTTCTTTAGCCCATCTAAGCCGATTTTTCTTTTGCAGTGGAGTTAATAGTGGCTTTTCTTTGGCCTATAAACAAGTTGTGCAGCTTTAGGGTTTTTACTTCACTTTTTTTATAAGAAAACTTACCTTGCAAGTGCTAAATCCCAGTTTGTGGGCCTCTCTTTGAGTTGTGGACCTCGAAATTATCCTTCCAACAGCGTCACTCCTCAGTGCAGTTAATTGTAAATAATTGGCACGCCTGTTTTTCACGATTATTCTTCTTAAGTGATATTACTTTTTTTCACATATCGTGGCTTAATATTAACTGAACCAGTTACGTTATATCTTCTAACAATATTTCTCACACTGCACCGCGATAAGTCTAACATCAGTATCAGTAACCGAATTTTCTCACTAATAACCTTTCCTCTACCCATTTCGAAAACCTTAACTACCCAAAACTATTTTAAACGTCTTCTGACAGCTGCGATTAATAAAAACAATTGTCATGGCTTTGATTTTTCTCAGCCTCCTATGCGTTATGGACTTATTTTGCATTGAAATGAAAATAGGTTGATATGCTGTAATTGCAACATGTGTTATTTTTATGCTGCAAATTTGATTAAGGAGTGATACAGCTGGTGTTTTCATTGTTAATATTTTAAACCTATAACACCCTGCTACATATTTATTATTTGTGTTTGATAAGAAAGAAACTAAGATTTCAATAGTCGCCCTGAAAATTTAAGGTCTTCTAGCCATTTTATACCACAATGTGTAGGTTGGCTCTTGTTTGTGAATTCGTGTGTCATTTTCCTTCCCTCTCCACCTTCGTTTCCTCAGGTTACACCCGTATCCGGATGTATGGGCATGTGTGATGTTTTTCATTGTTTATATATATAAACCAAAGGCATAATGTGTAACATATTCTATATAAAATAAAGGTAACAAATCGAATTGTATCATTAATTTGTATGGATAACTGTATTTGATGGTCTCTTGTCAAAACTTGCTTGTTAGAAATAACCGAAAAATTTAGAAAAACGACCGACTCGCTACCGGCGGGAGTTAAGTAATTTGTGCAATGCATGAGGTACAATATGTCAACAAGACTATCATAATGTATATTGAGATGTGCTTGCTATGAAATTTCTATTCCCATGGATGAATACTTTACTATGTGTTTTTTATCACAGCCTAATCGTAAACAGTAATAAATAACTGGAAACATCACTGAACATATTCGAAATCTTTAATTCTCTACTAGAGTGGTTTTATCCGCGGAACGTGTAGGTGGCGCCACTAATAAAGTAACCAATTTTCCAAGCATTGAAGTTGGCTGTCAACTTACTAATGCCATCAAACATACAACACGTGTACAGAAGTTCATATCCTTACATAAAAAAATGTTTTGTTTTAGGCATACGAAGTCGCGGGGGCAACATCTGGTGCAAAATAAACCGCCTGAATGGCTGTAAGAAATACGAAGTCGATTAAATGGGGGCAAAGCTGCGTGTCGAGGTAATCAATAAAATGTCGCTTAGAAAGTTTCGAAATTCAAAGTACTTCTGGAGAGAGACGGAAAAAACGAAATATCCCAAAATTAACAATGAGGTTTACAGTTCCACGGTCCGTCGCGTCAATCACTTGTCATCTGTCGACGCATTATCTTTCGGTGCCAGTCCCCCTCTCCACGTGTAGCGGAAGTAGGAGGTTAGAGACTGCATTCCGATTGTTTCCCTAAAATGTCTTCTCATGTTTAATAATTTTTAATATGTTCGGGTGTATTGATATTTTTAACATGTAACGAACGTATCTGTTGTTATCAACAAGCCCAATGTCAGCGTCCTTTTGTTTTTATACTTATTAGAAGTTCTATCTTCTCTACGTTCGTTTTGAAACACCTTGTGACTGCAACCTCAAGGACCAGTAAGTTCTTTGACAATTTAAATCTGTCCTGTTTTCTTTGCTAGCATCACAATTGTGTTTTCAGAATCCTGATGACGGCTCTATAGAAAATGCCGAAAGCTTGATTTTATCGTCAAAAGAGTCAACTTAAGCCTAAAAATTTGCCAATTTCCCAATTAACAATTAATTATATTTTGTGCCCAACTGGTCGTTGGCTTTGGCAATTTGAGGTCTGAACTGATATTCGAAACAAATGAAATCTAATAATTTTTAGGCCTACCTAGAAACTTGTGTTTTTCAGGAATAACTAAGTTTTGGCAATTTTAATGTATTACGTATTATACATTTTTTATACCATAGTCACCTCAGCAAAAATCCAATATGGTGTCTATAAGAAACAATAAAGTTGATGCCGGAGGACAAGAGACGAAACGTCATATTGGAATTCTAATTATGCCATCTTGCAGAGAAGAAAAAGTGGCAATGCCGATGTGTAATTTATTTTCAAATCGCACTACAAATAAAGTCAGCAAAA